ATTCAGGGTGGGCAAGGGGTCACTGAGAGGTCAGGGGGTCACTGAGGGGTCAGTGGGGTGGGCAAGGGGTCAGTGAGGGGTCAAGGGGTCACCGAGGGGTCAGTGGGGTGGTCAAGGGGTCAGTGAGAGGTCAGCGGGGTGGGCAGGGGTCACTCAGAGTGGACAAAGGATCACCGAGGGGTCAAGGGGGTGGTCAAGAGGTCACTCAAGAGTGGGCAAGGGATCAGGGAGGGGTCAAGGGTCAGTGAGGGGTCAGGGGGGTGGTCAGTGGTCATTCAGGGTGGTCAAGGGGTCACTCAGGGTGGACAAGGGAACACCGACGGGTCAGTGGTCATTCAGGGTGGTCAAGGGACCAGTGAGGGGTCAGTGGTCATTTAGGGTGGTCAAGGGGTCACTGAGAGGTCAGGGGAGTGGACAGGGGTCACTCAGGGTGGTCAAGGGGTCACTCAGGGGGATCAAGGGGTCACCAAGGGGTCGGGGGGTGGTCAAGGGGTCACTCAGGGTGGTCACCGGTCACTCCCCGAAGTGACCGATGACCACCAGGGGTCGCTTAGGGAGTGACCACTGCCCGCTGAGTGACCGGCGGCAGCGGTCAGCCAGCGGCCGGACCCACCTTGAGCTCGGCCTCGTCTTCGGCCACCACGTCCTGGGCTCCGGCCGCTGCGGCCAGCTCCAGCGCGGCCTCCATGGCCAGCGTCCGGCCGGACACTCGGACCACGCCCACGGCCTCGAAGGCGTGCCGGACGTCATCGGTCAGCGAGGCCCTGAGTGACCGGGGGGGGGCAGCGGTCAGCGGGGTCACTCGGGGGTCAGTGGGGTCACTCGGGGGTCACTCAGGGGTCAGTGACTCATCCTGAGTGACCAGTGGTCATTGGGGGTCACTCAGGGGTCACTCAAGGGTCACTCGGGGTCACTCAGGGTCACTCAGGGGTCACTCAGGGGTCACTGGGATGGTCAGTGGTCACTCAGGGGTCACTCAGTGGTCACTCAGCGATCACTCAGTGGTCACTCGGGTCACTCGGGGTCACTCAGGGTCACTCAGTGGTCACTCAGGGGTCACTGGGATGGTCAGTGGTCACTCAGGGGTCACTCAGCGGTCACT